AATCAACGACGGTGTAATACAAGCAATAACACTATCACACAAAATACTCTATTTTGAAATCTCCAAGTTATCTTGGTCAAACTATGCATGTTATACAAACACTGATTATCATAATTCAATGACCTACTGGATAGCTCTCTGACCTTAGTATCTAACGTCAAAACAATAGTGTAGTTTGGTGTTCAATCTACACCTTTCATACAAAGTTATTGTAAAGTATGATGAACTTTCGTGTCAGCTTCCACATCAATTTCATCTATCTTTCTTGTTTCACCTTGTTTATCCAACTTCAATTTTTATTCTCTTCTATACAAGTATGTATTCAATAATAGACAGTTGAATATTCTGAATTTCACATCTTTAGGAGATGATGTCTATGTAGAAGCTAGTTTCTATTTCAAAATCATCTTCATCAAAGACTATTACGTTTTGATAAGACAATAACTCCTTCTTGTATAACGAATAGTGTGGAGATCTTCTGCACTCAACTCAGCATGTGGAACAACACCCAGATTTCAACACCAATCCAGTCAGTCAAGTCAGTGCTCCTATATGATGCTTGAGAGACTTGGAGCGTTACGAAACGCATTTCCAACAAACTACACACATTCATCAACAACTGCTGCCTACGCTGGCTCGTTACTGAAGATCAGATGGATTGCCAGAATAATAAGAATCAGCAACAAGGAACTCTAGCTTGTCTGGCAACGAACCAACGAAGCAAGAAGCTATCGCTGAAGGATGTGCATTGTAAGGAAGTGGAGATGGACTGGGCAACCACTGAGAATGCCGATTGGGGACATCAGGCACCAGGGCCAGTTTCTCAAGTGGAATCCAGATGGGAAGTGACGATTTGGCCATCGGAGGTGAGGGTGACATAGAGGAGATGGTGTGAAGAGGAAATGGGAGGTTGTGGGCAGTGGTGTAGCCAGGTTGAAAACATTTCAGAGAAGAGAGTGTAGTGGAGACGTGCTAGTGAAGCGGTATGTTCCATTAGGAACCCAAGGGACATATAAAATAATATAATAATGTATAACGAATGCACAACATATTGGTTTAGGTAGTTGAATATTAGTTAACTAGTGAGTCGTAAGTTCGTGAACCACTTCATTTACCAGGGTTTAGGCAACCAGGTAGTGGTATCATTCACCCTCATATATAATACATATGTAACTGATTGTCCACTAGATGAATATGAGCTAAGTGGTTGAATGATTTTCAATATTGTCATAAATTTCTCTTTTATAATTAATTCATATTTTGTTTCATCATAATATAGGCTATCAGATAACAACTTTAAAACCTTGAAGGTAACATTTGAATAAAAGTTATCATTACTTAATTTGGTAGGTTTTAGCACTCATCAACTCTCCAGTAACTAATCAACTATATACAATTAGAGAGTATTCTAGCTCTTATCCATTTAACCCTAAACCTTAGAGTAATACATTCATAGAGTATATAAGCTTGAACAAGTTGATATCATTGAATAATCTAATCTTATCGACCTTTCATTGATTAATAATACTCTTTAATCAATCTATTGTATTCCTAAATAGAATTGTTCTGTAAAATCTTTACTTAATTACAGCTATTATATATAATATTGTTTTTCTCAGATTATATATCCCTATTGAACATCTAATACAGTTCGACTTTGTTAATCCCACCGGTCATGAATTCTTTCTGGAATCTCGGAAATCACCTCTCGAACCTAGTCACCAATGAGCACTAGATTGATTCAATTTTCAGGTTTCTAAGGATTTATTTATTGGTTTCAAAATTGATATTCATCATGGATTGTAACATCAGTTAGGGAACGATTGGATACCTAGAAGAACTGGACTACTGTTTCGTCCTACTATGGGACATTTCAGTAGTGCGAACCCATGACCCTGTTAGGGATCGAACCCACGACCCCTAGGTTCCGCAACCAGCAGATTACTATTAAGTCAGCGGGTTGGAAAATAATAGTCCACATTTCCTACCTTTATTTTATATATCAAAGATACTGTATAAAAATAGCAACGTTGAAGTGATATTGCCGTCAGTTCATGAGGATTCTATGGATTTAATCTTCACATATACACGAAATAGACATCAATGGGTAATCGTATGCCTTCAAAAAGATATTCAGATAGTCGTCATCACTAAGTTGCTGACGTCAAGTGGATGTTTAAAATTCCGTTGGATCCTAATCAATTTGAAAACGAAAGAGAAAATGAAGCATTCTAGATGCCACTACTGTCATATATCACAATACTACTTACAAATGCTTCTTTAAACTGTGCTTCAGCATTTGATCATGGACAGATGGCTGGCTTAATTCCTGGTTTTTTGATAGGGAAGAATATAATGTTTACAAAGGGAGTGCTTCATTTCATTATTTATTGAGGTTGGTGTTCTCTAAGGTGCTGTTCTTTTCCCCAGTCTTTTTTCTTTCTTTCTTTACAACTTAACATCTTTAGCTAGTGTTAATTTTATCAGATATGCTGATGACTAACTGACAGTTTCTATACCTGTCAACTCTTCATCAGATTGTTCAAAATGTCAAACTATAAACATGAGTTTCAGATAATCTGATAAGAAAATATACCCTGAAGTGATTGAGTAAGTAATGAGAAATACGCATAAGATAATAACTCAGTGAGATACTTAGACTGGACATGAATAAAGACTGTTTTCTCTCGGAACCATGAACTTCACTAGGAGAAGAAAAAAATTAGAAGGCAGAAACTCACCCCTGACTGTAAGAAACACACTTAATTCGACAAAAAAAATACATCATTTGTATACAACACTTTTAAAGAACATTTAAAATCATCAAGTCAAAAGTTAAATGCCTTATTCTGATTGGTCAGCTGAAAAGATAACATTGTCCAATAAGCTTTTTCCCGACCACACAGCAACATGAAATAAAGAATGAAATATAAAAACTTCTACTTTACCGAATGATGATTTAAACTATTGATTTTCTTTTAGGCAGTTTGGTATTAAGCTTAGATTAAGCCTTCCGTCTTTAGACATTTTGTTTTATTTGCTGGTTGGTCTTTGAGTTGGAAGACCACATATATTTTATTTGGCCACTGACATGAATATGGACAATCAAACTGTCTATGAAGTAGGAGACTGTAGACCATTAAACTCTTACCCAGTTGATGGGTGATTGACGTGTTTGTTGTGCAGAATGAGGTTTCTGGGTTGAATCTCCATGGGAGTCGTGGATGCGTATCGAAGATAGGTCTATAATGGGATGAAACAACCTATCCATTTGTTAACTCTTGAAGTTCGGTTTGTATATAAACTACTTTGACCCGGCTAAGTGGCCAGTCTACTTTCCGTATAGTGTGGCTCATTCGCCTAGGCGTTAAGTCGCAAGTTCGAACCCAGCCAGGAGATGGTGTCACTAGCCATCACACGAAAGTTGTAGCTCATTGTCTACTGTAAATACTTGCACAAAGATGCTTGGGAGATTTCGCTATTCTTGCTGGTGAGTTGCATAACACAATATGAATCTCCTCCTGTCCGACCTTTGCAGGTATTTTTGCTCCCAATGTTCTACTTTGTCTGTCTGTTTGTGAACATAACCTTATTACTCTGTTGACTGCATAGGGACAACGCGGGATTGTAGATAGAACCATATCAACTGTGTTTTGACATCCTTGTAATATATATTTGGCCTACGGACACTACTCCATGGAGAGGAATCGCATTATCTACCTGTAGACCTAGTTACATAACGCTTACGATTAGACAGGTGTTTCTCCGGGTACGAGAGCATTTATCAGCTCGATTTGGAAAGAATGAAGTGAAGGTGGTGAAAAGTTTAGTCCTAGAGCATCTAGTCAACACAGAACATCACACAGATGAGGAAATAAAGCTTTCAGTGTCATTCATAGTGTTCTGAAAACCACAATACATGTAACCCGCCAACGACACCTGTTCAACATAGCGGATGCTGTCGCAATAAGGTTGGTCAAGTCTAAACTCTCCACTTAAAAACAACTAGTCCAGGTGTTACTTCTCCCTATACTTTCAGCAAACTAAAGGCCACTTCTGCCTTCCCTATTCGTTATCTTTTTGTTCACTATCATTTCATTCATCTATAAATGTATCATCGCAATACTGAGTAATTTATAAAACATAAATCGATTTCTTTACAATCCTAAGTCTCACTCCACTTTGAAAATGTACCTACTCCTAACATGGCTTGTTTTCATGCTGTACAAATGCATTTTATAGTTGTAGAACCTGTAGGGGATATTCATTGAAAAGAAGATGTTTCGTTGCTCAGATTATTCCTTTTTAGGAAGAAATTAGCCATCTAATACCATAGAGTAGTAACCGTTTGTGTAACGGTAAACTGCTTGGATTTTAGTCGGTATATGATGTTCACTTAGTAGTGAACAGTAAGCAAATATCAGTTGTTCACCCAACACCCTACATCGATACAAAAAGCTATTATTGAATTTTGGGGTTTGTGGGGATTTAGGGATATTTTCAGTTGGTTTTCATTATGGACTGACATCAGTTGGTGGAACATTGAGAACCTGAGAGCACTGGACAGCTGTTTTGTCCTAGTATAGGATGCTTCAGTAGTGCGCATCCACAACCCTCCTGAGATCAAACCCATTACCTTCAGGCTCCGTGGTTAGCACGTTATCATTGAGCCACTGGGTCGGAATCCAATGGTTCATAGATCTGTGATGGTCACGCTATATCGTGAACTGACAGAAGTTGGAAATATGGACCATTGGATTCCAACCCCGTGGTTCAATGGTAACATGCTGGTCACGAAACCTGAAGGTCACGGGTGAGATCTCTGGCATGATCGTGGGTACGTGCTACTGAAGAGTTCCATACTAGTCAGACAGAACAGCCGTCCAGTTTCCAGGTTTCCAATATTCCTCCAGCTGATGTCAGTTCATGATAAAAACCAACTTGAAAAGGTATCATCCAACTTAATTCCCTTTTCTCTTTTTGTTTAATCTTTCGTTTAGAATTAGTCAATTGAATCAAAGTAATCAACGTCTGTCAAAACAATTGGATGATGCCTTGAAAGAATCTAGTATTAAAGATGCTGATAAATTTTACTGGAACGTCGTATAAAAGCAGCTGAAGAAGAGATACACAGATGGCGTACAACAGCAGAACAACAAAAGCATGCAAACAGCTTATTGCATAGGGTAAATACTATATACATACTATGATAGTTTATAAAAGTTTTGGTGTGAAAAGGCGAGATTTCCTCTTCTTCTTCTTCTCCATTAAGTCTTGTAATTTATTAATGTAGTAAGAATGAAATTGAGCACAAAATGAATCTTCAAGCAACACAAGGGTACCCTCATTGGAGGTCATATACCGACCGAAGTTGATCAATTTACTCCCTCATAACTAGTGATACACATTGAACAAGAGTTAGTCTAGTGGGTAATACTCTGCAGTTGAAAGTGATGAGTACTGGTTTCGAGTATTGAAGAGACAACCATTACTCCCAAGAGTATAAGTGTGTATCCAGCCGATAAAACTGAGATAGAATAGAACGCATATCCTTGAGTTTATTGCCAGCCACCATTAAACAAATTAAAATAGTGGAAAACTGTTTATTAAAGAAATTTCAGTTAGTATTGATAGGACATTATGAACTGATAATGAATGGTATTTTGGAAAGAGTCTTTCGAATTTGTTCTCCAGTTGCTTTCTCCTTAGACTTTTTTCAGCCCTCCTCATAGGTTAATTGAGTGCTGTTTTGATTTTCGCTGGAGATGTCATGGAGAAGGAAAGTTACAATTTAGATTTATAGTTTCATTCAAGTGACTGTGAACAGACTATTCTTCATGTTTCATATTGTATATGCTATCACTGACATTGTGGCTTTCTATAACCCGTTTTCAGCTGATTGCATTTCATTTAGACTGTGTTAATAAATCAACCACTGCTTGAGTATTCAATCATTTGTGTGTTACAGCGATGGATCTTAGGCGGATAGAAGTTCCATAAACTTGTGATATATTTGTAGTCTGTTAACCACTCGTCTCATCTTACTACCTTGACAACAAGGTAATCTAGACCGTGGCGGATTCGAACCAGTGACCACCGGGTTTCCTGCCCCATGATCTACCAACCGAGCTAGTTACGAGGTCTGACTACTGAACAGATTTCATATCATTTCAATCACCAAGAATTTTACCCGACTACCATGTGAATTCGTGATGCGTTACTACCGCTTGATCGTATTCACACTGGCTGCCTGAAGTCAGGACTTCTCATCCCAATCGAAATCTAACTAAATTAGAATGAGACGGGGAGCATCGCATCGGTTATCATTTTGATCATCTGAGTGAGATAGCCATGATTTGGCAGACTAATATTGATACTGGGTGATGACTGAAGGTGAAATGAAAATCTAAACAGGATATCCTGAACTGATCGGTAAGATGGCTTACTTCGCCTGCGTTTCGTACCTGTTGGTATCCATCAGGACATGGATGTATATTGTTCACTCCAATCGATGGTTAATTGTGATCCGAAAAGCTTAGTCGAATCTCTTAGGGAATATGAGTTCCTTAACGCCAAAAGGAAAAACACTTGTGATGGAAAACAGAAGAAGGACATATAGAGCCGTAAGGTGATTGGTTACCGCAGAGTAACCACCTTCATACTCTCACTTGCTTGATAGTGACTCCCATGCTTCAGTGGCCTGATAGATAATGATTTGGTGTTTGAAGAGATTGGTACTGGGTTGGAGTCCAGATAGGAACAAAATCACACGCTGAGGTGGCGGTACATCCAGCTAACGAGTCTGAAATAGGACAGCATTTCTGTGTACCTTGATAAGCCAAGCGGGATGGAATGCGATTTTCAGTGTGTTGTAGCACACACTGACAGTGACCGTATTTTATGCCTGATCTAGGCCTTTCTTTCAAAATAAAGCTAATGTAGCCATTATATATATCTGTGTTGCGGTCAACAACTTGGTTTCGTTTCCCTTTGTATCTTCTCTGTAGATATGATCTATTCTGTTACAAAAACATCTAAAGAAAACCCACTTTATATTGGACACGATAGCACCTAATGAGACTTAGATATTGTGCTGTCCAAATAAGCTTCCTGTAGATCGATCTTCTGATCAAGTCACCATCTTGTCAGCTAAGCAATGACTACTGATCGTCAATCTTTTCTTCACCAGTAAGGCTAATGTAATTTTGAGCCCAGATCATCTTTTCCAGGAGAAATATTACACTATCAAGCTATTCATATGTGACAACTATATCAGAGATTTTAAAGGGCTGTCTATCGCAAAGCAATCAACCTGAGGAATTGAAATGTGCCCATACATATTAATGATAATCAATCTTTCTGAAATGTAAGATAGCTGGGAGATGATGTAAGCTTGTTTGAAGAAAGATAATCCAATGAAATACCGATCATGTTAACCAGATAAATTTACATTGATGGAGTACAAGGCCTCATCCTTGAAATAGACATCGCTCAAGATTGAGTGTATCATTTCAATGAAGACCTATAAAAAAGGCTTTCGAGAGGATTGTAGTGTTTTCCTAACCATTTAGATAGATCATGTTTGTGTATGTGTGTGTGGTTGACACGTAGAAAGTATTAAACTTAATTTACTTGGTGTTAGTTAGCAATGAAACCCAAGAAGCGTGTTTTGTCCAGTCTAGGACTCGTCAGCTGAATGTACCAGCGCCCAACACTTATCACTTCAAAAGCCAAGGCATTATCCACTAGGCCACTGAGACACGTGATTCACGTCGTATGCAACGGGTGTACGAGCCCATATGTCAATAGAGGTGGATCAATTCTATCGAAAATAACAATGAGAACATTAGAAAGCTTGGAACACTGGACAGCTGTTTCACCTTGGTATCGGACTCTTCAGAAGCGTGCACCCACCACCTCAACAATAGTCCTATACTAGAATGAAACAACTGCTGTCCAGTTCTCCCAGATTTCTAATGTTTCTCTAGCTGATGTCAGTCCATGATGTATTAGTTTTACTTAATTGACCCTTTTCTCTTAAATTTCCATGTAAATAAACATTCAAGTGCCTGTAAGATCATAAGTCGTCCCAGAACAAATTTGTTTTCAGTGATGCCACTCTCTTCAACTGTACAATCACGATTAAATATGCACGAATCGGTCAATTGAGGGAAGCCAATTTCATGTTGTCTATCCCTGGGTGCTGACTTAAAAAGTCAATCGATCATTTCACAGTTTGGCCAGAGAGCGAGAAAACTCACCACCTCGGTGTTACTTTTGGGGTTATGGTCGACACTAAGGATTAGACAACATGATGTCTTCCAGGCGGCATATAACGGCCCGAATAGTCAGGTGGTAAAGTAGCTGACTGCAGCATTGTATAACGGAGGTTTGCATCTTAAGTGTGACGTCAGTTTTATTGGAGTTACAGATACGTCTTGCTGGTAAGTGCCAGAAATCCCCTAACGTAGGTCAGCTGGAATTTCCTAATGATTACCTCTGACCAACTATCATGTAAATTTCGTTAGTAGGCGTAAAATTGTCACTAATTGCTAATCAGTAGGCGTTAGAGGTTTTTAGTCATCAAAAATAATCTAGGAATAGAAATAACTATGTATTCGCAACGAGACCTGAAAGCCCTGGGTTCGACCCCTGGTGGTGCCGTGTGTACGCACTACAGAGAATTCTTATACTAGGATGAAACAGCTGTCCACTGTTCCCATGTTTCCAGTCTCTCTCCAACTGATGTCGGTTTAAGAGGAATATCACCTCGGGATCACTTAATCCTCAAAAATCTCCAAAATAAAATATGAAATCATTTGACAACATAACGCAAATTTTGTAATATGGCACTGTTAATTGATCTGCCTTGATCAGTATAGATCCGTATTGGAAGGTATTAGCGCCGATGCTGGGCAATCTGCCTCTTCATACCGCTTATATTGTGCCTAGCTCCACTGGAGCACGTGAATTGATGTAAGCAACATTCAAGTGGTTAGCAGGGATAGTTTTTCCTCCACACTTGTGTTCATTATTGAGGGACTAGTATAGATGATTTGCAGAGTGGCTACATAGAATTTTGCTTCGACAACCTTCATAAGTCTACATTTTAGCACCTCAACTGCTGAATTTCAAGATGAATATTAACTTTTCCTTCCTCATAGTGATATGAGGTTGAATGGCAACAATCCGGTGTAGATCATTATCGACTTATCTTTTTAGGTATCCATCGCCAAACAGTATTGACCTTAGAAGTTGAATTTTATCTTCTAAAATACCAAGAAAACCGGGCAACACTAGACACCTGTTTCGTCCCAATATGTGATTCTTCAGCCGTATATACCCGTGACTTCACCATAACTATTACGACCGATTAATGAACAAATACTGACATTTCCATCTCCTCTAAGTACATTTAAGTCTAAGTGTACATCTTCAGGGGATGACATCATCGAAAATAGATTTGTTTGTTAAAGTTTCTACTCTTAAAGATTGCTTCCGTTTTATCCTTACTTTAGTAAAAGAAACAAAGTACACCGAATTGTATCACCTCCAGTTAACTGGAAGACAATATTATGCATTCATTCAATCAAGTCACTTTCTTATTCATCTTCTCTCTATGTCTTTCTATTTCATTATGGCTTTAAATTATCATAGAAATTCATTTACACTCATAATTAATATTTTAAGATATAATGAATCAAATATTACATATACTGCTTATTATTATTGGCAGTAGTAGTAGTAGTGTGAGTGTTAGTAGTAGTAGTAGTAGTAGTAGTAGTAGTAGTAGTAGTAGTAGTAGTAATGGCCGTATTAGTAGTAGTAGTAGTAGTACTAGTAGTAGTAGTGGTATTAATAATAATAATAATAATAATAATAATAATAATAATAATAATAATAATAGTAGAAGTAGAAGCAGTAGTAGTAGTAGTCATCATTATCAACATAGGACCAGGCATTACTGCATAACGGTCCGAGTTGCCACACCTCATATCAGCACATCAAGTAAAAAGGTAGTGAGGCGAAGGATGAAGATAAGTGAATGCAGTCAAAAGAAATATAAAGTACGATAGGAAAAGAAACAGGAGTGACAAAATGGTGAGATTCGGTATAGCGTCATCAAGATGAGGATAATGTGTGTATACATCTGCGCCACTGACTTCGGTTCTCAGCCATATCACCT